TAAAATAATATGTTAAATTTTAATACAGCAACTGTTTACTTTTTAAAAATATAATAATCTTAAATTAAATACATTGTATAATTGCGTATATTGAAACATATTATATATTTAACTTAAAGAAGTAACGTTTATCTGTAATATACATTTCTATGTGTGCATGATCAAATTTAAGATACCATAGTAGATCAGTGCACTGATAATAATTGTTACAATTATTGCAAAAACAACAAAAACAATGAATAACCATGGTTATAACGCTTTATTGTGGTTATATTTTTTTTATAAAGTTTTTATTCATTGTTTTTGTTTTTGAGTCAGATCACGTCAAGTGGACACCCTATTTTCCACTTGGTAATAGAATTTAAATTTTAATACCTACATCAATCGTTAGTAGTCATTAGTAACAATATTTCCTTAAAATATATTTTTTTTTATTTTAATTTTAACAGTTTTTTTGTAAGAAAGATTTTTCTCAGTTTTAATTTAAAAATTAATTGTGAAAAAACTGTTAAAAGTTTCGTAGTGAAATTTTCAGGACTTTTTTTTTAAATTTTTTTATACTTTTTTTGATCATTGAAATATACAATTCAAATTTTTGATAAAGTCTCTATCAAATAATCAAGTTTTTTTCATGGTTACATGTACTGGTTATAAAGGTTTCATATCCTAAAAAAAAAATTTCACTGCCGGGCATTTCTTTAAACATTATTAATTTTTTACTGCAAGGCTCCGCGCCTCATGAGTCGAAGCCGCGCTCGGCTGAATTGGTTTGAATGATTTGTTTTTATTTGAATTCAAAATATGACATCCATTTTAATATTTTTATTATTATTATACAGTCGACAAATATTTTACAATTTTTTAATCAATAAAATAAATTAATTAATTAATTAATACAGAATATTTTTATTAGCTATCGCAAGACTTTTCTTTATACACAAAAACAAATATTTTTTTTTTTGTTCTAAGCGTTTTTTAAATAATATTTATTAAATTTTATAAAATGGGTCTTGTAAATAAATGCTTTAATCCATTAATAATGTTATAATTTATATATTTTTTAAGGACCAAAAAGAAATTAAAATAAGGGGAAAAAATGATGAGTTATTTGACTCATTTGATGATGTGTCCAGTGATGAATCAGTAAGTATACTTATCTGTAGATGTAATTTCATATATATTTCATAATATATATTATAATAAAATATTATACAGTATTATACTCATGTGTATGCATTAATTAGTATTATTGATGTTATAATTCATATTTTTTTTAAGGTTAAAGAGGACATTGAAACCTCTGAGGTTGATTCGGAATAAACTTTACAACATAACACTTTGTGTTTTATTTCAGTATACTATTGTACCTCAAGTTTAATTATACAAAGTTTATACTTCTTAAGAAGTTCCATAAGCCAACTGAATGGCTTGTGCCGGTTAGGGGTAGGAACGGACCGCGGGTTTAAAGTCCCCTTCGAAGGACTAATACACAATAGGACAAACACAAATAAACAGCCATACCTCCGGCTTGTAGTCAGCAGCACTAACCACTAGACCACCGTCGGCGTGGATGGCATAATTGTCTAAAAAAATATTCTCCAATTGGACATAAATCACATCTTTATTTAACATTTTTCATTTGACTTTATTTACAAATATAACAAAATCTGTTATTTTAAAAAATAACACGTTTTATTTTGTGTTCCAATTTAAAATTAAGTGCAAAAAAAATTGAGTATACGCACGAAATTCACCGTAAATACGCACGCGAAGATGCGTCCTTCCCTTGAATTCACCGTAAATGCACAAGTGAAGCTCGAAGTGAGTGCGCATGCATGCTAAAATTCGCGCGAAAAAATTGAAATTATGGTGAATGCACATTTTTTGTTCAGAAAACTTATTTTACTATATAGCACCCTTATTTCATTTTTTTCGCGCGAATTTAGAACACGCATGCATTTACGGTGAATTTAAGGGACGGACGCATCTTCACGTGTGCATTCACGGTGAATTCATGTGTGCATTTAAGGGGCGGAGGCATCTTCACGTGTGCATTCACGGTGAATTCAATGAGCGGATATATCTTCACGTGTGAATTCACGGTGAATTCCAGGGGCGGACGCATCTTTTAGCAACCGTGAATTCACGCTTGAAGCAATATTTTTCACCGTGCATTCACGGTGAACTCACGAATGTTATCTGGGTAATTATTATTAGAATATATTACTGTTTTTTTAGAATGCGATGATATTTTATTTATTTGTTATTAAATAATAATTTTTTAAACTTTTTTGTTAATTTTATCTTCCCCTATATGCTACAACTGGATAACTCGAAATTTTACGAATCCAGTTCTACTAAATACTTACCAATTTTAGAATATTTTATTTACAAATGTGTTTTTTCATATATCCAATTGTAGCATCAAGGGGACAATATTATTTAAGTGGTTTTTTTTTAGAAATTGTACCTAATTAATGGGCACTAAAAAGAAGGTGCTATGAGGGGCGGCATAAATATTTTTGCACGGGGTACCAAAATGTCTGGAGCCGGGCCTGTGTATATATTTTGTTGTTTAAAGTTTTGTAAAGCATATTTTTTTCTGAGCAACTAAAAAAGCTTTATCCCAATTAATAAAGTCACAAATTATTTTTTACTAAAATAGTGTAACAATAAAAATGTAATTTTGTAAGTTAAGTGCTTATACGATTGTAAGAAAAAATAAGGTATGCATAATTTCTTTAGTTTATACCACTGTAAAGCCTATTTATTTCTAAGCAAATTAAAAAAAAAAGATTGGAGCTATATCCCATTTAGTAAGGTCACAAATAATTTTTTACTAAAATAGTGTAACCATAAAAATGTATTTTTTTAAGTTTATAAAAGAAAATAGGGTATGCATAAATTTCTGTTGATCCTATAACTGTAAAGCCTATTTATTTCCTAGCAAATTAAAAAAAATAGAGCTCTATCTCAATTAATTGAGATCACAAATTATTTTTGACCTAAAAAGTAGGTTTCTAGACTAATGTGCACCACTCTAAAAAAATGAATTTTTATTTTACACAATATCGATCACAATTTTTTTTACATCTAGCTCTTATAAGGTATGTATTTTTATACTCTTAAAAAAGATCAGATAATGTGTATAAACTAAAGTTGAATGTTCATTTGTTTAATTTTTTTATTAAAAATGGCAACAATGTAACATTTCAGATTTTTTATGATTTTACTGTAAAGGACATATTTTTATTTAAAGGTAATTTAATTTAGAATGACAACATTTTTCTAATAGGTATTTATAAATACGAAATAAATTTTGTATATACAATATTTGTGGAATATTATGAGGCAATCCAGGCAAGTTTTAACCGATTTTTATTACAATGGTGAAAACCCCATGGTCACTTTAGAAATTTTGATTGAGCCCCTGTGTGAGAATAAATTGAAAATAGTTCAACAGACTTTTTAACCTGTTGCTAAATGGCAACAAAAAATGATCTGGTAAATTATTTTGAATGTATTGATATAAAGTGTGGTACCCAGATAAACTTTGGAAGTTCAATTTACCTGAATAGTACCTGCACGCGTGCTTTTACAATGCGGGCTCATATCAAATTCCATATGTAACCTAGCATTCGAAAATGTACAATGAGCCTATTTTGACTCAATTAGTGAGCCTTACGGTATCTGGGTAGGTATTGCAATGTGCGCATAAATGTCAAAAAAATACTTCAAATAATTTTCCCGAAAGCAATGTTTTGATTGCCTAAAACGTATAAACATGTTTTTAGAAACATCAAAAAATAATCTTATAATTTATTTTTCAGTTTTTTAAGGCAATATTATATTAAGCTATTGTTCCACTAGTGAAACAATAAAAAAGGAGAAAAAAATTGTTAACAATAAATTACAGCTATTTTTACATACCAATGATACATACCTACTTACATATTTATAAATATAATTTTAATCATTGTTCACATATTTGGAACGAAATTTTCAGGAAAAAAAATTAAAAAACAAAGGAGAAAAAAATTTCATTGAAAAAAAGTGGGGTTAATTTCTTTTGACAGATATTTATTTGAAATAAGCTTAGTCAGTTCGTTTTGCAATAAATCAGCTGTTTGTTCTTGTTAATGTTAACTAAGTACCTATAATGTTATTGTTAATGTCAAGTATTAATGATTTACGTTTATTTGATTGTGGGACAAAATAGTATGTGCAACTCGCTCGCTCGTTCAGAATCAACCATTTTTCTCACTCGTGATAGCTATAGCTATAGTAAAGTAAGGCAGCCTAATGACATACATATATACATAACTATAGTAATATATTATAATAGTTATGTATATATAGCATCTATACAGCCTTAATAAGGCTGTATAATAGTTGTGTATGTCATTAGGCTGAGAAGTGGGTCTTTTTGTGTTGCGCTAATAGTTTAAAGGCCGACGCGTAGCGGAGTCCTACAATTGAGCAAAGCACAAAAAGACACTTCTTGGCTGCGTGATTTACAACATTTTATCTTCAAGGCATAATTTTATTATTTAAAAGATACATAAAACGTACAATTATAATAATAATTATTAAAGGTAGAAAGTGAGGTTAGGGAGATCTGACAGTAGTCGAATTTATTTATTGGTTTAAACAGATTTTTCACTTATTAGGAGGTAAAAAAACTTTACCCGATGAGTCTAAATTATGTATACAGCCTAGAAGATAATCAATCACTTTAGTAGTGAGTGCTGACAATAATAAAGTTTAAATTATAGAACTCTTAAAGATAAAATATGTTTAAGTAATCCGATAACTTTGTACTTTTGTTATAGTACACCAAGAAATATTGTTATAAAATATAATAATAATAATAATAATAACAAATAATTATTGTAAAAGAAACAAAAATTATTGAATCATGTTTTTGTGTATATTTTAGAATTAAGAAACTGTTTTATATTTACCAATATTACGTTTATAGAAAATAAAACATATATTACCAAAGCATACTTGAACACATATAAATAAGACACAGCACAAGTTCACTTTAAAACTCATTGTTTACTTTCACTTTACTATTAATCATTTAAAACAAGAAACATACCGAATGTATACACATTTTATTCGAAAGTGTTTATTAACAAAGAAAGATCTATGGTGATGTTTGTACTAAAACTGAAAGGAAATGCCATTAAGAACCAGAACTCGATGACCCTGCCGCGATTTTGTACTTAGTCACCTTCAAGAAATGAAAGTAGAAGTGGGCATGCCACGTATAATAACAGTTTTACATGCTGATGGTAGTAGTATATTAGAAGAAATCTTAAAATATACGCTAAAATAAAAAATCTAAATAAAATAAAAATAAAAATTAGTTAGATATATGATTAGGTATCGTAAAATTACGGCACACAAAAAAAATAAAAAATTATTAATTGTTTCGACTTTTACTTGATGAAACTCCATGTTGATATAATGTTAATATAACATACACTGTTTAAAAGTTTCACTATTTTATTTAAATATCTGAAGATGATACTGTGTAGCGAAACAATTGTCATATTTAAATAAAATAGTGAAACTTTTAAACAGTGTAGTTTATATTAACATTATAAAAAAAAATAAAAAGTCGTGTGCGAAGACTGCCACATGTAAGATTCTACTCGTTTTGACCAGATATATATCTCTGGTTTTGACGTATCTAAAGACAAAACAAAAACGTATAGTGTTTTATATAAAAAATAAATTATAACAATGCTAATTTAATAGGATTATTTAAAAGAAATTAACTTTCTATCTTTCCACAAATTGCAGAACTTAAATTACAAAAATTACGAAATTTGACAAAAAATTGTCATAAAATAGAATCAAGAGCAAATCTTAATATAAGACTATTTTTAGGTATCACAACGTGTGGCAGTCTTCGCGATTTTTTATTTTTTCGTTGATATCGGTGTTATTTAAATTTTACCTCGAATTTTACATTGATTTCAAAATTATTTTAATATTTTTGAAATTTTATGAAACTTTTAATGTCAACAATAATTGAGGAGTGATTTTTCAAAAGGTCGTATTTCCATTTGCAACAATTTTTCAAAAAAATGACTATAACCTGTATAGGTTAGAGCAATATAGATTATTAAAAAAAAAATCTGATGAATATTTAATAATACTTCAGACCTGCTGTCATATTTCGCCGTTAATATATGCCTTTTAACCATACCTTTGGGATTATGTCAAAAAATTACATTCAAGTAAAAATGGAAATAAGGCCTTTTGAAAAATCACTCCTCAATTGTAATTGAGATTCACAACTAATTTTTGGCTTTTTATAAGAATCATTGCACACATGTGTATAAGCAAATTATTTTTCAATAATATTAGGCGATTTTTATTCTAAGTTTTTAGAGCCACCATAGACGAAAAGCTTTTCTGTATTGTAACGTACACTATGTATTTTTGTAACCCGATTCTTTAAGTATACTGAAATACTTATTTTGGCATATTCGTGATCGTCTAGTTAATTTACTTACTTTATAAAAACTAGGACTCTACGTTGTGTATTTACGAACATTGATAATAACGATATTTTGAAATTGGTCAGGTTTAATGAAACACAAGTATTTAATTGTAAACCCCTGATTTAATTTAAGCAAAGAAAAAGGGGTGGCCCGTTGAGTCAAAGCACAGGGAAAAGGGACCACAAAAACCCTGGCGACTTACAAAGTTCAAATAAAAATAAAATACAAAACAAAACATAGTTATATGCATAATGGGTCATAATCACACCCTTATTTTTATTTTTTTACGCATACCCTCTAATTATATTTATTACTTGTTTATATACTCCCAGTAAAAATTTCAGCTCATTCTATAAACGGGAACCCGTGCCGACTTGCATCTAAACCCTCCGTTAGCCAACGTTAGGAGCGCGCGGTATTTTGTAACACGAAACACTTTAAAAAGAAGATATACTTCATGACTGTATTTTTCTAATGATTTTATTAAATATGATTATACTAATTAATATTATTGCTTTTGTTTCTATCATTTGTTTCACTAATTTAGTTGATTTTTCCCTTAAATATATTAATATACTAATTAGTATTGCTAAAATATACTGTTATATGAAATTTCAGCATTTCTTTTCTTGATGTCCTCCAAAAAATATTTCAGACAGTTCAATAAGTTTTCGGTAGTCATCTCTCACAATAGACTCTTTTAGTTATTTAGAGTAAAACCCATTAAGTTTATCAATTTCAGAGTTTACGGCCTATTCAGCAGACCCTTCCACTCCCTGTGAATACATACATACATACATACATACATTTTTATCAAAGTATACACATAAATAAAACTATATTTTAACATTTGTCAATAATTTATAATATAAGGGTCACATAATAACAAACACAAAATTACTTACGATCGAAGACCTCTCGACCAACCGTGTTACAAAATACCGCGCGCGCCTAACGTTGGCAAACGGAGGGTTCAGATGCAAGTCGGCACGGGTTCCCGTTTATAGAATGAGCTGAAATTTTTACTGGGAGTATATAAACACGTAATAAATATAATTAGAGGGTATGCGTAAAAAAAAATAAAAATAAGGGACACCCTAATATATATATATATATATATAGACTTATAAACGCTCTTATACAGGCCCGTACAAGATAACTTTAGTACGTTTTAAAGCCAAAAGCGACGTTATAAAACCCGGCTTTGGGCTTTACAACGGAGCCCGAGTATATAGTAGCCATTCGATTCTCCTTTCTTTCTGCACCCTCCTGTTAAAATTTTGGATGGGCCTCAAAAAGTACTATTTATGCATTCATTTATACAAAATGTTTGGAGAATTTCACTGTAGGGGGCGCTTCTGAGTATATATTTATACATTTATATTAACGTATCGTTATCAGCCCCTAAACTTGGCAACACTGCTGGGCCCGACAACGCGCGTACAATATATTTTTATAAATATACGGCAGCTTTAGAAATTAACCATAAAAGCACTGTATGTTAAAGGATATTTTATTGTAGCAGTTTACTGATCTATAAATTGCTGTTGCAGTCCAAAGTGACATACAATTTTTAAAACCGCGGAACTACACCTTTTTTTAATTTTTTGGGTTTCCTGTAAATATGTATAATTATTTGGTTCCAGAATTCAATTATAAATTTATTTTATTTTTAATAAATTTGCGAGGTTGGCAGAGGAGCTAAAATATGTAATTACAATTATTTGTTCGTGGATTACAATTTTTAGTGTATTCCATTTATAACTGATTTATATATTTGCATGGATCCCCTAGGGGCAAAGTGGTGAAAAAGAGGATAAAATAAAAAATATACATAATATATTACTAATACTATTATTCCCAAACTGTTAGTAATGATTGTTATAAAGTTAGTATAGTATTACAAAAGTTGTTCTGGTTTTACAAAAAAAGTGGCTGACTTTTATAGCAATAAATAACCATGTATAGAGAACTGTTTAGAAATTAGTACTAAAAAAAATCAAAATGGCCTCAAGTAATTAATGGATGCCCCCTAATTAATTACCACGAGTACTATTTGCAACTACAAATAATATTTGCTATTACACACCTTAAAATTAAAATTCGACATATATTTTTAATTGCGAGTTGTATTTGGAGGACAATTTTATCGAACAAAGGATTAAAAAATTGATAAATTGAAAAATATTTACCTGGTAGCACTGGTGCCATATTCGCTGCAATTTGTACTAGTTCAATTTTCTAAACAATTACTCTAGATAGGCCAAACATTGTCAAATAAAGCTCAGAGCCCTTGGTTTACTTTTGGCAGATGACAGGTAAAAAAAATTGCCCTACATAGTAGGGTGGGCCGATTTTATATTTAACTTCTAAAATTTAAAAATATTAAATTCTGCATTTAAGAAAAAGTTGTGAAATAGGAAAGTAAACATTTTTTTGCAAAATATTTTTTTGATATCTATATGTTTTGAACTGCCGCAACGCCTCTAAAATTTTAAAAGTAATTTTTAAAAATTTAAAATTATTCATAAGCGGGAAAGTTGTGAAATAGGAAAGTAAACTATTTTCCTTTAATATTTTTTTTCTTTTTTAATGTTTTGAACTGTATGAAGTCAAACTGTAAATTTTAAATTTTGCAATAATTGCAATTATTGGAGAGACGGCGTAAAATGGAGAATAAATATTATTTAAGATTTTCGTGTTTGTCGTAGGACAGTTGACAGTTGGCTTCACTGTTTATATAAATTCTAATATTTTGACATCGTCAATTAGTTGAATAATAGGAATTTTTACAAGTAGGTAGTATCTGTTTGTGGTTTTTGGGTGTTTGTGAAAAATGGCAGGTAAAACAGGATTATAAATTGAATTAAATTTGTGTTGATGATAAATTCATTTTTATTTTTGTTTTTTTAATAAATATTTATCATTTAAAACTTTTTTTAACCCTATTTTCTCTCAGATAATTTTTTTCGTATTTATAACGATACTAAATTACATTAAGATCTTTCAAGGCCTTGCGGCAGTTTAAGAAATTAAATTAAAAAAAAACTTTTATAATATTTGTCTGCCCTTATAAATGCACAACTTTTCCACCATTGCACAATTTGATATTTGAAAAATATTAAAATCGGCCCACCCTACTACATAGTCTAAGCGATTATTGGAATTAAAAATATATTAATATATATTTTTTCACCATAATATTTACTTTTTTCATACACAATTTTTTATATACAGGCGTTGAGTGAAGGAGCAGTTATTAATCAATGATTCAGGCGTTTCAATTTTAAATATATTCAAATTTCGCACTACCCTAAAATAGGTGATAAATATTCGTCAAAAAGAAAAGAGACTAAACATTGTTTTTTTCAGTAATGTGACACATTTTGAAAGTCTATACGCTCACAAAACCCCTGTTGGTTATTATTCTAAACAAGAACATTTTTAAAAATATTAGATTGTAGTTTAAAAAAAATACTGCCGGCCAATACATTTATTTTTCAAATTTATAGAAAACACCTTGATTATATCTATAATATAGATTCTACATGTCATTTTATGCATATGCACGGAGAGAACAGTTTTGGGAATGGTTACTAAAAAATTTAGTAATTTGGGGACAGCTTTAATATTTTAGGAGTGAGCGTGTTTAGTAATAATTTCCATATATTTAGTATAAGTGTTGTGAAAAATAGTAATTACAAAATAAAGGAAGATTTAAACTTGAG